TGATTGTTGTTGTGCTGCGTAGTTAATACCCAAAACATTTGTTTTGCGAAACTAAAACCTGTGCGAATTTAGAATCGAGTTGCGAATTTGAAATTCAGTATTGCGATAGTCAGAATCGCGTTGCGATAGTCAGAATCTCGTTGCGATAGTCAGAATCTCGTTGCGATAGTCAGAATCGCGTTGCGATTTACGTATTCACATTGCGATTTACGTATTCGCATTGCGATTTACGTATTCGCATTGCGATTTACGTATTCGCATTGCGATTTACGTATTCGCATTGCGAATTAGGAAAATCGCAACGCGAATTTGGAAAATCGTAATGCGATAGTCAGAATCGCGTTGCGAATCTGGAAACTGATTTGCGACCGGATCGTTTGCGAATTATCGATCGCATTGCGATTTAGTTGGTCATTTTGGCAAATCCAAAAAAATTTGGTTAAAATCGTATATTATAAGGCATTTTTGGTCACTGAGGCTATTTTCTCATATTAAAATCACTGATAGACGATAGTGTTGATGAGAGAAATGAGATTGTGATGTTATTTGGTGATTCATTCTTTTTTATTTAGGCAGAAAACTTAGAGTTGATTCTGTAGTTGTTATTTCTTCTGATTTGGGACGAAGAGATCTTGTAGTTGTTAAGTGTGATACATGTAAGTTGAAGAAGATGTGAACAATAATCTCAAAATTGGAGAGAGAAAGAGAGAGACCTCTTCAGTTTTGCATAGGATTCATATACGATCCCTTAATGTTGGTGTCAGACCTATGGTGATGATTATTATTTTTTAGGTTAACTGAGGTACACATGGCCGCTAGATAGTATATTTAACTGTAATGAGAGTGACAACGATCAAGTCATGGATTGTAGTTGTCCGGAAGATGTGGAACTCTAAAAACTTTTAAAAAAGTATGAAGGTCTCGATAAATAGAAGTAACGATAGAATTTACGAATGAGATCTAAAAAATATATAACAACAACTGATTTTGAATTATAATGAAGTTGGAGTGTGAGTTTCATATGGTTGAGTCACTTACAGGTCTAAAAAATGTTTAATAAATTTTTTAATTCTTTTGATAAGACAATTCCAATATATTTTTATAATTTTTAATAATTTATTTTATAAATATTTTGAGGCACCCCTAAAACTTAAAATTAAATTAAATCATAATTACAAAATATTTTTAATCGGAGATCGACTGAGTGACTAAAGATACTCATTTCTCATCTTGTGGGGTTCAAATTTTGACATTTACCTTAAAATGCTACAAATATACTGTAATAATATTCTAAATTACCCTCACAGAGTAAAATGACCAAAATTCCCTTAGTCATCTTAACTTATAAACAAAGAATTGGTTGAATGATTGCAAAAAAATATTCTACAAATCAGATAATTGATTGAATATCTCTCATAAGCTGTAGAATATCTGGTATACTTTCTCATTTATGAAAAGTTAACCTTATGAGGGTTAAAAATGGTGGAATTGTCTTTTTGGACCCTAAATGAATAAGTTGTCATGAGTAAGGAATAACACAAGTAACCCTATAATTAAAGAAGTGAATGTAGTACCAACAACCAGTTGATCTAGTAAAATGAGGCACTAGGTCCCTTAAGCAAGGTTAAGGGTTCGAATCCTGGCGTTTGTGAATGAAGCAAACTGGGTTGGGAGGATCGTTCTTGCCTCTGCAGTACCCGATCTGGATTAGTCGGTTAATAGATCGGATACCAGTGATTAATTCAAAAAAAAATGAATGTGGTAACTTATGAACGAGTAAATTACCAAAATGTCCTTTTGGGGCCGATTTATTAAATTATCCTTAAGTGTTAAATGGATTAAGTGGTGTAAAGTTTTGAAATGCCTTAAAGATTAAAAGATTAAATTATTAATGATATGATTAAAAGAATAAAAAATATAAGCTAAAAATATTTGAAATACCCATGTGAAAAAAATGATAAAAAAATGCACTTATACATGAAATTATCAAAATTCCTTTATATAATAAAGTGATCAGAATTAGGGTTGCACAGAAGTCGGATTTCAATCCGATCCGGATCAGTTTTTATCCGATTCGGTTTTTTCCCAAAGAAAAAAACCGGTTTATAAAATAACCGGTTCGGTTTCTAACAGGTTTGGAGGGTCGGATATTCTAACCGGTGTAACCAGTTTCGGTTTTAAAAAAATCAGTTTTTTTAAAAAACCGGTTATAAAAAAACCGATTTTAATATTATTAAAATTACATCGTCATCAATTGCAACAAAGTTTACGATAATTGAAATACTTAAATACAAAGTTTACAACGCGCCCTCCTCGAGCCATTTGACATCTCACATAAATCGTAGTGATCCCAAATATCTTTGTTTTCGAGTACGTTCGATCACTCTCACGACTTCAAGGTTTCTCCCGACGAAATATTCAGCCGTGTTACTCATGATGAACAAAAAATTATAAAAATAAGATTTGAGAGATGTTTATGTGTTGTGTAATAAGATTTGAGAAAGTTGTAATCAACCAAATACATCCTCAACCTATTTATACATGTTTAGGATGGTAAAATGGTAAATTTTTAAAGGAAAAACGGTCAAAAACAGTCACAAAACCCCCCAACGGCTATATTAACGGCTGTTTTTTAACCCAGACCGTTTTTTTTCGGATAAAAACCGGTTTTTAACCGATTTTTTTCAAACCGGTTTTTTATCAGGTAAAAAAACCGGTCTAGGTTTTTTTTTCCAAACCGGTTAAAATAACCAGTTTAAAAAAATCCGATCCGGTTAAAAAAAATTGGTTTTTCCCAAATCCGGTTTCGAATATTTTTTTCGTAAAATCGAATATTCGGATTTTTTGTGCACCCCTAATCAGAATGGTGAACTATAATGAAGTGCTAGAAAAGAAAAACAATTTAAAACGCTCGTATGAGAATAAAATGACGTGAAAATGGCGAAAGTAGAATAAGTAGAATTAAGAATTGTTATAAATTTTAATATTTAATATATCAATTAAATACAATTCTTATAATTTCATTTACAAAAATTAAAAATATTCCAGTATCAATATGTAAATAATTATATATAAATATCTGTCAAGATCTAAAGTATAGATTCATAAAAAAATCACTAGCCAGTGCCTCTTTTAAAGATCCTCATTATTACAACTCATAACCTACAAAACATAGAAATTAATAGACTTAATTAGTTTCTTTAATTAAATTCTCATTGTTAATTTTTTACTCTCCCGATTCTCAAAGTTTTGTCATGACTAATCCGGATCGACCTATCTCAATAAGGAATTTTTATATACACAAATCTCGAACTCGAAATTTACTTAAACGATATCAAATTATTTACACTTAAACCAACTTATTAGTCAAATTCTCATTGGTATTAAATGCTTGTGTTTGAAGCGCAAAGATCGCTCCAGCTTCCAATATAAATCGAATTGTCATTACTCATAATGTTGAACAATTTTATTTAAGCAAGCATCATTAATTTTTTTTAAAAAATGAAAATGTGTTAATTCTCCTTTGGTTTTATTGAGCTGTTCAAAGAACCACATACCTTAAGTTCTAGGAAATTGCTTATTTGTCGCTTTTTGTTGATAAAGGGGCTAATCTAAAAAACGTTCTTCTTAGAGATTTTTTATTTTGAACAGTTGTGTCTGCAAAATCTGTGTATTATTAATGACTAAGAAAGATTATGGATAGATATTACTTTGTAATTACTATATAAAATTCAAGAAAAAAAGCCTACTGACGTTATTCTTTGTTGTAAAAGTCGTTGCAGTGCGACGAAACCGCCGCCACATTAGTGCTACAACACATCAAACCAACATATGATTAAAGTCTATAATTAGTACTACAACACATTAAAGCTTAAATATTGTCTAAGTCATAAGTAGTAGTACTCCACATTAAAAGTTCACATCCTAACTTTGAGGAAACTTTTGAAGCAAAATTTTCCTATGTTTTGGGTTTTTTTTTGTCAAGAAAGCTTTGGCCTCCAACTCATTTTTGGCTAAAAAATGAACACCTCACAAAGAAAGTCATCATCAAATCCTTCTTTCTCCATTGACATAACTTCTTCACGAATTGTACATATAGTATTCCATGTATTTTTATAGTCCTCAAATGATTTTCCACGTGTTTGGTGGCACATTGGACTTGAAATTTTTCGGAAATAGCTATAGCAACTCCATTTATAGAAACTGCTCTAAATGTATTAGATAGCTTATTAACTTTTTTTGCGTCTCCTCTGCAAGTATTTCGAGAAAAGATGTTCCATTGGTTTTGTCTACCTAAATTGTTTGATACGCTCATTTCTACATTAATAATCATAAAACAAGAAGCATTAGACTACTAACAAACATAATTTATCCAACATTAAGTAACAATTTGTAATATCAACCCTCAAATATACTCCAAGCACCTAATATGTAAGACATTAAGCACTCAACTCACAAGCATATGTAAATGTCCAAACAAACATAAAACATAACATTTATAAAACCAACAAACTTAAAATAATAATTTCAACAACCAACAAATTATTCAATGTCCAACAATCTAAAAACATTATCAATTTCAATATCCAACAAACTAAAAAAACAACAATATCCAACATACGTACATAGAATACTAACAAATCTAATAAAATTAAATGTTTCTATGTGTATCCACACATAGCTTGTTGCAATTTCATCTCTCTTAGTAGCCCATTCTCTAGCTTCTTCCATCTCTTCTCGTTGTGTAGAGTTGATGTTATCGAAGGCTCGGTTCCTCATATATTCTTCGTTAATTAAATCATTAGGATCAACTCCATTATATGATTATGGATGATAGTACAAGCCAACACTACATCTACTTGTGTTTGAAAATCCCAAAATGGTTAAGCATTCAACACACGAAAACATTTCTTTAAAATTCCAAATACTCGCTCAACAGTGGTTCGCAATGATGAATGATGAAGATTAAACATTCCTTTGCATTTATGGACGATGATTGTTTGAACTCTTTTAAATGATATCTAACACCCACATATGGAGAAATAATTCCATTTCGGATGTCATATCCAGCATCAACAAGATAATATTTACCTACAATTTGACAAAATGTTTATATTATTAATAATTATAATTTATTTTATTATTTTATTTTAAAGCTAAGTATTACCTTCTGGAATACTAAATCCTCTTCGGCATGTAAGTGCATCAGTTAAAACACGAGAATCATGCGCACTACCTTCCCAACCAGCTAGAACATAAGTAAATTTCAAATCAAAAGTAATAGAAGCCAATACATTCTGTGTCGTTCACTCTTTATGAATACAAAATCTTCCTTGATGTTAGGTGGAACAGATGTCACGAATATGAGTTCCATCTAATGCTCCAACACAATCTTTAAAATATGGGTAACACCTAGAATTATTTCTTATCTCAAGAGGAGTTTGACTCATCGGTAATCTAATGGCTAATTGATATAATTTCAAAATAGCTCTCAACACAATCCTAAAGTAACGGTGAATTATTTCAGTTGATCTATAATATTGATCCAATCACTCGAAATCTTATATTATGACCAATTATATGTAAATATGATAACTTGCTCTTTAACATTCATCGCTCATGTCGACTGTAACTTTTGTTCCTAGTAGGATGTAAAAAACGCAACTGGTCCATCCGTATTATGTCGATACAATTTTGGTCACCTCTATATAAAATACTATTTATGTAGTTTTCTCTTTCACAATCTCGATTCACATGACGTCCATGAGTTATTTGCTTTCTAGATTTTAGTCTGTGATCCAAATAGCCCCAAAAGCCAATGTTGAAGCAGCTACTCCCACTATTGTTTTATGATAATTACGTTTCATCTACAATGAAATTAGACGTCAATATTTATGAATTTTGAACTTTATAATAATTATAACGCTATTGTTTTATGAATAGAATTATGTTCAATCTTGTTGAAAGTTAAGTGTTCTTTCTTTGTTTATCTCATTTTGGGTCAGGTCTACTATATCTCAATATTATGATAAGTTTCATATGAAGTATTGATAATTTATGCCATAATCATATGGATTTGATCCTTTATTTATACCTACCAAAAATATATTATAAGAAACTAGATTCATATAAATTTAAGCTTTTACCTAAAGCTAAAGTTTCATATTACATTTAAACTTTTACCTAAAGCTAAAGTTCATATTACGTTTAAGCTTTTACCTAAGCTAAAGTGGATGTAATTTGTCGATATACTATTAAGAATTTATGTCATATATCATATATTTGAAAAACGTACCTCATTTCCCTTTTTGATCAAAGATATGTCAGGTTCAATGGTCGATCCTCATATTGGAAAATTTCAACCAAATGTGCAAGTGGACTCCAGTAAGAACCTGTCAGAATATTACAACTAATAGATTCAGAAAAATAGTTTCAGTCAAGACAAATCAAAATTATTTTGTTACAAACAGAGGGACACCATCAATCAACGTTAGGTAAATCCAATAAGGATCAAGGGTCACGTGAGAAGAGGTACTACATGCTTGAGGTTTGGGGATATTCGTATCAAAAGCATGGGAGGAAGGAGATTCTTGATCAAAACCAAAGATCTGGATTTGCTAGAGGTTGTGAAAGAGCAAATTGGGCATATCTCGAACCTGTCAGAATATTACACTAATAAGATTCAGAAAAATAGTTTCAGTCAAGACAAATCAAAATTATTGTTACAAAACAGAGGGACACATCAATCAACGTTAGGTAAATCCAATAAGGATCAAGGGTCACGTGGAGGAAGAGGACTACATGCTTGAGGTTTGGGGATATTCGTATCAAAAGCATGGAGGAAGGAGATTCTTGATCAAAAAGATCTGGATTTGCTAGAGGTTGTGAAAGAGCAAAATTGGGCATCTCAAAGAAAGTTTACACGAAATTGAGCCATGGTCAGAGTCTTTCATCCAACAGAGAGAATAACCTGGATTCAAGCCATTGGGATTCCATTACACTGTTGGAACCATACTACTTTTAAAAAATTTGCTGAACAGTGGGGAGAGTTAATCGCATTGGGGAAAATGCAACTCAATTTATGGATTGTGAGGTGTCTCTCCTTGTATTACGAATCAAATGGAAAATATAGATCAAACGCTAAAAGGAAGCGAGGAATGTGTTGTATGATCAAAATCAAGGAAATAAACGGAAAACTACTTGTGCAATCAGATCGAAGGAACAAATAAGCAAATTACAAGGAAGAAACTTGCTAAAAAATGAAAGCTCATATGAATCTTCTTCGATCTAGGTTAGTGCAAACTCATAAATATGGTTTTCAGGGTAAAAAATAAGCAGTATATTTTATAAAGCATTAACTATAATAGAAACATGAATCACAGCAAATGTTTATGTAATTACATGCCCCTACAATTAAAATTTTAATAATAACATAGTACAATAAAATAGTCTCCTAAATGTTAAATACATAAAGTAGTGTACATTAACAACACAATTGTTGAAACATTTTGATATACCAAACAAATTTGTTAATTAATTTTTAAAAATTTTAAGATTATATTCAATTCAATTATTCGAATATATATTTATTACTTAAAGTTTAAAACGTCAATTTTTACTCCTTACTCAATGAAAAATTGAGATCTATACTGAAATATTTTTGAAATAATTTTTACTAAAGGTTTCGAACTTTAATCGAGTCAAAAACTCATTTTTAACTAGTAGTACGATACTGCTAAGGCAATACCGATACCATGAAAACAGAGCCTCAAATGGTACTGATACCATGAAGTGGTATCGATACTACTAAATTTTAACTCTGAATTTTTATGTTGTGGCCTAGGAAAGTATTTTTAATCATTGAACGAATTTATGCCATAAATTTGCATTACAAGGCACACACGGTTAACCCTCAACTATTGCATGGTTCCTTTAAAATTTGCATTAGAATCTGGTATTTGACTGAGAAGTGCATAATCAACCAAGAGAGGTACAATAGTCTTAATACTCATTGGTAGATAGAACATTGCTTGTAGCATGATATAGTGTCTTCAATTTACACTGAGATGTCCTAAATATCAAAATGAAGTTTTCCTAAATGAAGCTATTGGAATTCTAGATGTGAAAGTTGTGAGGGCAATGAAGCTTAAAAAGAATATCTCCTGGGAAAATCTAATCCTTACGTGAAACTAAACTAAAAATGAGGCTTGGTTGAACATGTGCAATAGTGACCGTCGGCTCGAGCACATTGAACGATGAAAGATAACTTTTGTCACAAGCCCATAGTAACCTTCCATTCAGTCCACAACAAATTGGACTTTAAATGAAGGAGTTCTGTTGAAAACATTTTTTTTTTCAATATAACAAATTAAGTTTAAATGAATTTTAAGATTTTACAAATGATTTTCTAAGTATATTCGATTTAATTAATCGAATATCAAATTATTACTCCAAGTCTTTCAAGTTCAAATTCAAACCTTATATTGTAAAATTGTGTTCTATACTTAAACTATTTTTGAAACAATTTTCAAAAATTTTGAACCAAAATCAAGTCTAAAATCAATTTATCAAAGTGATGCACCGATGCACCAATCCATGCAACGTACCATGAATTAAATTGAAAATCGAATGCATTTCATGCTCGATGCACATACCATGCCATCGATGCACTGAGGATTTATGAAAATCTCGAATGCATTTGATGCATCGATGCACCAGTCATGCATCGATGCACTCTGGCTATTTGAAGCATCGAATGCACTTGATGCATCGTGCACTCTTGCGTCAAAATATTTTGAATTTTACATTGATGCACCGATGCTCATGGGTATGCATCGATGCACTGACGCTCCCAACTGCTTTAATTAATTGTTTTCACACTTAAACGGCTCTATTGACTCAACTAAGCATCCCAACGTTCAGAATCATTTGAAGGTGTATTTAAACAAGCTTAAGCCATTGATCAATAACAAACAACAATCAACAAGAATCAAAGAGAATCAAAGAGAAGCATCGAACCTCAAGTTGAGCATTTCAAGCCTATTTTTCATTCAATATTCATTTTGCTTTCAAGAAAACTACTTGTACTCAATTGTATTCATTTTTTAGTGTTCTTTTCTTTGTTATAGAATTGTGCAAATAATCTACCTTGTGAGGATTTCCTTGTAAGTTTGCAAATTTGTAATCTTCTCTTTGAGAAAGAGTTTTCTCAAGAATTGGGTATATTCTTGAGGGAGTTGTAAGGTTATCTCTTTGGCCTCAAAAGAAAGAACAAATTACTGAATTTGTTGGAAATCCTTAGTGTGGATAACTAAGGTAGTGGACGTAGACTTTGATTGAGAAAGTCGAACCACTCTAAATCGCTATGCAATTACTTTCAATTTTCTGCAAAAGCTTCCACCAAATTTAATTGCCATAACCCCCCTATTGGACGATTCTGTTGATCGATTAACTCAATAATTGGTATCAGAGCCCACTCATTGAAGGTTTAATCATCTCTTGAGTCGATTCGGGAAGAGTTACATCGATTATCAAGTCATCAATGGCCTCTACTTCAAATGTCACTCCAGTCTCGATTCGATGCCCGTCAACAAGCCTCCTTTCTTCAATGGAACTAGCTATGCATATTGGAAGAATAGGATGATGTATTTCATTCAAGCAAATGACATGGGAGAGTGAAATGTTGTAGAAGACGGATATATCAAGCCTCTCACTCATCCAAGATTGTAGAGTGAAGGAGAGACAAGAATGTTCCAGCTTAACTCCAAAGAATCCATATCATATTTTGTGTTCTTGGACCAGATGAATATGAAAGAGTTTCATCTTGTACAACTGCCAAAGAAATATGGGATAAATACAAGTCACTCATGAAGGTACCGACGAGGTAAAAGATCTAAAATTAGTCTTCAAACACATAGCTATGAAAATTTCATGATGAAACCAAATGAAGATATCAAAGCTATGACAGATAGATTCTCAACGATTGTCAATGGTCTCAAATCATATGGAGAGATCATTCCAAACAAAAGCTTGTGAGGAAGTTAATTTACTCACTCCAAATCGTGGCAATCCAAGAAGACGACAATTATTGAGGCTAAAAACCTAAAATCCTTAACTCTTGAAGAGCTAATTGGTTCCCTCCCTCATAAAATGATGCTTGAAGATGAGATGGACCTCGATAAGATTGATGAGACACCAAAGGATAGGAGAATACGAAAAACATTGGAGTTGCTCTCAAATCCACAAAGATGAGAGCGATTTAGATGATATGACGATGACGAGGAAATGACATTGTTTGCCAAACGGTTCAGAAAAATGATGAGATCTTACCGAGGAAGAAAATTCAAACGAAATGAAGGTCTAAAAAATGAACCAAAAGAGAAGGACCCTATCATTTGCTATGAATGCAAAAAGCCGGGACATGTCAAATATGATTGCCCACAATGAAAAGAAATGGTCAATCAAAGAATAAGCACTCATGTGGCTACATGGAGCGATGAAGAGGGTTCCGATGAAGAGGAACAAGAAGTAGCAAACTTGTGCTTGATGGCATTCGGGGAAGATTCTAAGGTAACCCTCTAACTCATCTGAATTAGATGATTTATCTTATGATGAGTTATTAGAAGAATAAATGGGTTGACTTCGGATTATGAGAAATTGTTTTAAAATATAAAAATGATGTCTCAAAAATGAAAAATGAAAATAAGCTCATATCCAAGACCAACAATGATTTTGAAAGTAAAATCAAAGATTTGCAAATCAAATTAGAAGAGTTGAAAAGAAAAATTCGGATTTGCAAAATTTACTTTCAAAAGTCAGTGATTGCAAAATTTACTTTCAAAAGTCAGTGATGATCATCAAAAGTAAATTGATGATCTTAAAGCTTCTTTTAATAAAGTTGGAACAAAACGTTTTGAAAATAGAGAAAATTCAAAATCCAACTTTGTTAGAAAAAGTTTTAAAAACTACAATCATAGAGGTCCCCGAAGAACCTCTAATGGAAAAATCATTAGAAGTATATGGATTCCTAAAGGACTCATTACTACTAAAGATAAAGATATCATACAATGAATACCTAAGGGGACTAGGATTTTGGAAACTAATGAATATACCCAAAAGAGTTTGGGTACCAAAATTGGAAATTAATCAATGTTTGTAGGAAATGAGCATTGCTACACAGGCACGAGAAACAAATTCAAACTCATAGTACCTTGATAGTGGATGCTCAAGACACATGACCGGAGACAAAAGCCGTTCAAAACTTAACGCCAAAAATAGAGGAGAAGTGACTTTGGGTGATAATTCAAAGGTCACATCGAGGTATAGTACCATAGGTAATACCTCTTCCATACAAATTAAAATGTTTTATATGTGAATGATTAAAGCATAATCT